GATGACGGCATACAACTGTAGGTGCTTGAACTACACTGCTGGAACATTTTGTCTACTACATTTAAGTTTGAACAGCTTCAAAAATGACTTGTCAAATCATGAGTCAACTTCATAGAAAAGGGTACTGAACAGTATTCAAACTATCAATTATAGCTTACAGTTGATGACAAACTCCTGTAAGTAATAATTACATGGATCAAATGGGGTCGATTAGGGTTGGAACTAAAGTCTGCAGGAACATGACCACTGCTTTAGAGTATGTGAATAGTTATTGTCTCAGTCATGCCAGCATTTTCTCCAAACCAGTTTGGTCATTTTCCTTGCTTAAGTACTGACAAAGGTGAGTAGAGACTGACCAAATGGCTTTTTTAAATCATGTAATAGCTTTTACCTGAGAAAAAATAATAAAGAAAGGAAAAACTAAGATGCAGCAAGGTTCACTACACTGTAAAAACACTTCAAATATATTGAAACTCAGTCTGAAAAGGTATGCCATTCAAAATGAAGCCTCAAACGAGAGTTACAGTCAGGTCTCAATGATAATGGAGATGCTCAAAAGTTGCCTGCCTGAATGTGGGCTGGCTTGAACATTGCTAACTGTCAGACTACAGTAGCCTTCCTGATAAAAGTCATTCCAATCAAGTGAATAAATGTAGTTGCCATGACAACGATAAAGCATTGCTCCAAGGTCATTATTCATCCAAAGCCAGAACAGAATATCACATTCCAGAAGCCTAAGCACATACGCATTATTGTCAGTGTCAAAGCTGTTAAGATAGGAGATTTACTATTAATCGCTGAGGCCATAAAGGCCCAACCTGTGAGACATATGACCTGCTCCACTGACCACAGAGGCATCGATCACTGCAACAATGAGTGTCATACCTGTCAATTTCTAACACGACGTTATTGCCTTCAGGTTAAATTGGATAAACACACATGTATTGTGCCATGTGGAGTAATAGGTCGAAGCTGAAAGATGACCTTGTACTTCACCCATCTTGAGCATTTTTTACCTAATATATAGCCAGTATGCATGACTACACTCTTAAAAATGAAGGTTCTTTGGACCGATGCCATAGAAGACTCTTTTTTTTCATCCTAAAGAAACTTTCCATAGATGGGACTTTAAAGAACCATTTTTTGTAAATGAGAGTATGAAGAACCTTCAAAAACATCTGCATAACCTTGAATAACCTATAATATACCAATTAGGGATGCATCGATGCAAGAATTAAGGACCGATAACCGATATTTTTCATGTATGTATAATGTGGATGTGAATGAAATTGGGACTACATCTATTTGGATTAGCATTATGGAGAAATGTAACAGATTTTCTGAGTAGGGTTATGCAGTAAATGCAGTAAAATGAATAAACTGTAGATATTTTAGCACAGGAGCCCAGTGCTGCCTAAATATTCTTTTTTTCCAGAGCACAAAAAGTACTTCATCAAATATTTTTTGCATATTCTTTATGCATCCCTAATCCCAATCATTATTTTTTCTTAGAATTGTACACCCAGGCCTGGAACCTCTATTTTTAAGAGTACATGCACCAGAATCTCATGTAGATCTTTCTACTTTTCAGACGTCTACATCTATATCCCTTCAGATTCTTTTCTGACAGTTACTCCAGTGAAGGTGGGCTTGCCAGAGGAGGCTGCCATGCTTTCCCTACATCAAAGCAGGAGCCATCAGAGGGAGTTTGGGATCCCATGGGAGACGCAGTGTGCGCGCAAGTGGAAATGAAAAGGAGTGACAGTTGTAACGGCAAACTGCAGCCACTTGAACTAAAGGCCGCAATCCCAAACCTGAGCCTAAAATATATGAACAGAGAAATTCCCAACCCGAATAATAACGTGTGCAATGTTCTTATGTGGGTCATGAAGTAGGTACCTCATCAAGATGCAAAGCTAAGCAAAGGTTTTGGAGTTTTCTGTTTGTGCATTAACATCTTCGATTCTAAGTAGGTCGATGCATACAGGGTATGCATATTGCTTACATAGTGTAAGATATACATGACCTTTCGTGAACACTCATTGAAATGAATGATGCTCTGACGGAACACAATTTGTGTCAGCCGGCAGTTATCTGTACGAATGGTTGGTCAATGAGAGATTTCATGTCACGCTTTAAGGCTCTTTTATGGGGTCACGGATTGCATTTCAAACAGAGTAGCCTATTAACACCAAAGCCAGCTATCAAGCATTATCTTGCTAAGCCAAATGCATAGCTCATTCATCAAGGAGCTCACTGCATGGCCAGGGAGGGGTTCTGTGCTAGGAACTGCATTATTCTCAGTAACCAGCATGCTTTGCCATCCCCCACTTACTACCTTTGAATACAAAGAATAAAAGGTTCCATAAAGGCGAGGCTTAATTGGGTTTTATACATTTGCATCCAGAGTGGAGCCTGCAATTTTTAGACAGATAAAGATAATTAATGAAAATGTGAATTATGGCAGTTTCCCAATGGAATCCAGAAACAAACAGCCTCAGATTAAATGACAATTTAAAGTAGAGAGGATACAGTGTTTTCTTTTTTGCTTGTTTTGTTCTTTTTCTTGGGGAGGGGGGTGTAAATGACTAAAATCAACCTATATTTTCAATGTATGTATATGTATAAAACTATCACTGTGCACATTTACTGGACCATTTTATGCTTATTATGCTATTATTATACCTCAGTTCTGCTTTTTCTTTATTTTGACTGTACAGTGCAACAGCAACTAGACATTATAGAATCAGCATACTGCAGTTATTTTAACCATCCTGTATTTTAATGTGATGAGACTGACTTGTTTTGATTCAGGGAAGGAAACAGAACCAAGCTCAATTAGCACAAGATACAGAGCTCGTTGTCAACCATCCTGGAAAGAAAGCTCTCCTCTGACGCTCCCTGGACTAATTCGCTGGACAGAATTCATTAAATATCAGAGTCTTTTGAGTTGGTACATTAGTCTGGAAAGGGATTCCTCAATGTCGGAATCATATCAGCATCGGCAGATATTTGCTTATAAATAAATATCATCAGACACAAGTTTAGATTTCACTGACATTGCAAACCGATATTTCATAACATATTTACTGAACTCTTAGATTGCTTAGGCAATGCTGGCTACTGTGATAAAAAGTACGTATTTTATTTGTTTTAGTACATGCGGCAGAACGATTTGTGTAAAATATCTAATTGCGATTTTTCTCACCAATATTGCGATTGCAGTTTAAATAGAAATAATTTTCTATGCTTTTTATTGTCTATGAATATCAGCACATTCATTTGTTCAGACACATGCTGAATGTGCTTTGCCAGACTGCCAGTTCTCTGCGTTCACTTTTTTATTCATTAAAATCGCAGCTTGCAAGTTGTGTTTTTCAAATTGCAAAATTTGTTTGGCCAAACTACAGAAATAAATGTTACATTTGACATATGACAGTATTTATTGTTATCATGATAAATTAGATCACAAATAACTTTCTTTTAGCCTATCGTAGATATTATCAGTGTTAAAGAAGACTGACCGACTGCATGTTTCAGTACAAAGAGAACATAACTGGTACTGTTTGAGTGGATTTAGTGCAGCGCAGTACGCAAAACATTAAATGAATTCAAAAAGAACATCTGTACTCAAAGTTTTTCACAGTAGTTTTTAAATTGTGGCACTACAGACTTTTTTGTTCTAACCTTGCTAGGAAAAATAAACACTATGATATAGCATATCGTGAAAATTTCTTAAAGTATTGTGATATTGCTTTTCGCCATATTGCCCACCTCTATCTGTTATATTAATCTGGGTGGATCTAGTCCCAATTTCTACATTTTAGAAATGTTTATCTATATATGTACCAGCAGATATGCACATGAAAAATATCAGACATTGGCATCAACCCACAATTCCCATATCGGCGCATATCTAATTTTGCATTGTATTTTATCATGATAAGACTGATTAGTTTTGATTCAAGGAAGGAAGCTCAATTAGCTCGAAATATGGAGTTCATTATCAACCATTCTGTGTATGTACTTGCCCTGGGGAAAAAACTAAAAAGCTCTTTTCTGACCCTCCCTGGACACTGTTGGACAGAATTCATTAGAGATCAAGGTGTTAGTCTTTTGATCTGCTACATTAGCCTCAAAAAAAAGTGGGGATGAAGAATATCCTGCGGAAGACGAGTGCAAGGAAGTCAGTGTTAAACTCCTCTCAACTATCTAATTAGTGACCTTTCCTTGTGAAATGGCATCTTCCTCCACTGAGGGAGCATGGAGAGAGAGAGAGAGAGAGGGAGAGGGGGGCATGATTTTTATCAATGGTTTAATTAATCATTAATCTCTGAAAATCCCCTCCCCTGTAATGCCAGACTCCTCCTTCTATGCTCTCTCTCTCTCTCTCTCTCTCTCTCTCTCCTTCTCGTCTTCTCCTGACTCTTCTGCGCTGCATCATTCCACACTCGCACACACAGAGCCTCTGATTGGCACTGCAACGCACACAGACACGCCGGCTCCTCCAGCAGAGAGAAACTCTTGCTCTCTCTCCAGACCTGCTGCAGTTTCCCCGCGAGCCAAACGCCGCCGCCACATTTCAGTCAAGAAAAAAGGAAGAAAAAAAAGGAGGTGGTGGGGGGAGTTGGGGAGGGGGGGGGAGTGGACAGAAGCATGTCTCTTTCCTTTCCTGTCTCTGGCGCGAGACACACAGCCCCAGAGCAGGGCTGGAGAAAAGTTGAGCTGATAAGCCTCTTTCATCTCTTCCTCTAGGTCTCTCTCTCTTTCCTTCTCTCTCTCTCTCTAGCCGAACCGCATGGCCAATACGCACCGACACAGCACACAGACAGACAGTCTCTCTCACAGCGCTGCTGGTCGCCACAGATGAATATCAATACGCATTAGCCATTGTGTGGCCCCGGAAAGAGAAAGAGAAGGAGGGAAATTAAGGAAAAGAGGGAAGGAGAGAAGGAAGGAGGGGATAAAAGGGAGGGATAAAAGCTTTGCTGTTGTCTTACCTGCTGTTGAAGCTTAACGCAGGGAGCAGAAGGAGGACGTAAACAGCGCCGAGGAATTTCATCTCTTTTGTCTCGCTCTCCTCTTTTTCTTTCGTTTCTCGAACGCTCGCTCTCTTTCTTCTCTCTCGGTCTCCCCTTTCGCCTCTCCTCTCCTCTCTCCTTCCCTCTGCTCTGTCTCTCTTTCTCTGGCGCACACGCGCTGTGGCGGACAGTCAGTTGCAGCTGTGAGAGCGGGGCGTGCGCGGGTGAGGGAGTGAGGGAGAGCGAGGGAGCTAGCGCGCGCGCGCTTGCGTGTCCGTGGCGCGAGAGGGAAAGTGCGAGACGCTGGGTCTCCTTTGGCTTTAAATAAGAGCGGACGGGGAGACGGACAGATTTATTAATGGTTAGGAACAGGTGGGGGCGTTGAGGGGGGTGAGGATGCGCGAGGATGATTTGAGGTGGCGAAGTGATGTCAGCGCCAATACAGCCAGTGGCCTCGCGAGCTTCTTTCTCTTACCAGTTCCTAGTGATGCCGTGTTCCTGCGATATCAATCTGTCTGAGGCTCCACCGGCACGGCGTCCCCTTCCCCTCCCCTCCCCCCTCACGGGAGAGGCCAGTGCGATTATCTGGGCACGAGCCACACCGGGGTCACTCCGCAAACACTAAATCAATCAGCGCGCGCTCTGATGGGAGGTTCATTTGTTTGACATTTTATTTTCTGTTGCCCATCAGACGTAATTGATGGGACGCTTCTCGGTGCCCTCGCGCTTATTGCGCGATTAGGCTGGGAAAGAGATGATGATGAATGTAAGAGTCATCACTTCTGCTCGCTTTAACTTTCTCCCCTCACTAATAAGACACTGATACAGTCCTAAAAGAGATGGTTCTTCAAGGTTTTTTGGTAAATTGAATGGTTCTCTATAGAACCATGACCACTTACAGAACCATTTGCATGCTTAAAGTGTTCTTTCCATCATGAAATGGCTCTTCATATCGATGGAGAATGTGTTGTATATGGTTCTATATGGAACCTTTTTGAAAAGGGTTCTATATAGCACCAAAGGGTTCTTCTATTGTTACAAGCTTGACATCATAATGATAGCAGAACCTTTTTTGGGTGCCATATAGAACTAATTTCAAAAAGGTTCTACATAGAATCCATCAATGTGAGGAACAATTTCACCATGTGTGAGATGATTCTGTATAGAGCTCATTGTTCTAAACAGAACCGTTCCCTTTACTAAAGAAACCCTTGATAAACAATTCTTTTTAAGAGTGGCATGCTCAGACAAAAAGGTAGTAAACTGTCACTGGGGCAGTACCCCTCTTGTCACCCTCAAGGGTACATGCCAGTACCTTTAGTCAGGGAACATAATTGTACCATAATCCATTGAAATTATGTTTTCTAAGTTGTACTGAATCCACACCCCCGTCTCGTCTCCAGCCTTTTTATTTTATTGCTCTGTTTTAAAGGTTATGAAAAGGTACAAATATGTACTTTTCACCTGGAAAAACTTATTTAAGGTACACAATTGGATGTTAAAACCACTGTTGTACCTTTGAGGGATCATTTACATGGTTTATACCTTGACAAACAAAAAATGTACCTGCACAGAACCTTTAACAGTGTATACAGAGAGAATTTTAGATTGGTTTTAGTATTTGGCAAAATTTGACAAAATTTCTGCATAATTTAATGGTTGAGATATAAACACCCATTCAGAGTGGACTGATGTGAAGTGATTCACTGTCGAAAAAACATACTGAGTCAGATTTTTTCTTTACAGTTGTGGTGATAGAAACCAGAGCTCACTATGTCTACAATACAAATGTAGTCATTTTATTCACTATCTAAGATGACCATTGAGTTTTTGTAAGTAATGTTGTTGATGGTAAAAAAATCAGGCAGCATATTCATAACTATTTCATGTAGCTTAAACACTTTCTGTGAGCAAGCTTTTAGAGGTGGATGATTGGATGATCCACCAGATTGAGCAAAAACGTCTGATAAGCACCTGAGAGCCGCCTGAACACAAGCTTCAGTGGAAGGGGTATGACTCAGAAAGAATGATCTGACCCTTTTTGTACAAAGGCCTTTACATGGTCAGTGTCAATTTTGCTTAAATTTGAATAGTGACTTTATAATAATACAGAATCTTAAACATTTTATCATTTTAGATAACTTTTCTTTGTTTCAAATAGTTCAAAATTCTAAACTTTCTGTGGTTTATTTACAGTTTAAATAAAAAAAATCCCAGATTAAATGTTAACCCTTATCACAGTAGCCATGAAATAAAATGTATGCCTGTTTTAGAGGAAATCGTTCAGTTGAACTACGCACCTTCAATTTCTTCAATAATAATGATGTAATACATTTTGATAGACATGTAAAAGTCAATTTACTGTGTTTAAATGCAGATTTATTGTGACAGTTCTATACTCCCCCCCTTTCACCTCATTGCTTACTAGCAGCTTAACACAACAGAAGACATTTAACACACAGAGAACCAACATCATAATGTAGAAAAGATTTTATATGATTATGTTAAAAATCTGAAAGTCTGTTTCCATTCTGCTGGTGGAATGGCCACTAGAGGGACAGAAAGAGGTTAGAAAATGTTTTTTTAGAGTGTTTACCCTGTCTGTTCACTTAAAAGAGAAAAAACAGATAATGATATATTGCAAAAAGACCACGCAAGATTTCACAAGGCTCATTAAGTGTAACTGAGGAAAGCTTTGACAACATTGAGATCTGCTATGTGCAGTTCTTTTAAATCAGTTTTAAAAAGTTAGGAAAGTATGAAAAAGCATTGATTGTCTTGAAGACTAGAGGTCCTATATTACTGTGTGCCAGCAGGCAGGGAAAAGTAATATATAGCCAATAATATCATGTTTCACCTCCACTTTCTTCAACCCATACTTATCATCCAGAGCTCAGAGATCCTCACTGAAAAGATTATACTGTATCACATACTTTATGGTACGGCTGCTGCAATAATGTTGCAACAATACTGTAATATCACATGAAACATACAGTATTTTCAGCTTTACTGTAAAACTCAGCTACTTTTCTGAAGCAGCAAAGGACTGTCGTCTTCACCGCTGTTTAATTTGGTTTTCAGTTTTGCATTAATTTAAGGTTAAAAGAGCTAGCTGAACTTACTTAGCACAACTGTGCCAACATGAAAGTATAGGATATCTTAATGTTGCATTAAAATGTTTTATCATATAAGTCAGTATTTAGCAGAATCTATGTCAAAAAAATATATATATACTTTTTTTGGTAAGTACCTGATTACCACAGCTGTAATAATGCTAAATTTAGCTAGATATGGGATTCAGACTAACAGTGGTGTACATTCACTTTCTCACACAAAGCTTGTAAGACATACATGAAACATATTTTCACTTGCAGTTTCCATGAATCCTTTCATTAATACTTAAGCCAAAAGCCTAACTGTGAGTGGAGCCTGTTAGCTTTTGAAAGAATAGCTGTTTTTATTTTTGAAAAACTGAAAAGAATCAAATGATTCATGATTACATAATATGCTGCTGTCAATCTGATTCTTGTAAAAATACAGTTTTGAACTGCAATAAAAAAACAATACAGTAGGTTATTACTGAAAGAAATATTACAGTATGAGTGCTGTAAATATTAATTATAGTAACTACCTGGCAACTCTGCTGACAGTAAGGCACTGTAAATTTACAGGATATTTTTTATAGCACAGTCTTGGACTAAATTGTAGCTTCAGTGGTGATTCCCCACTGAAAAAAATATTAGCCTAGGCTTAAGATTACTCAGGATCTGTGAAACCAACCCTAAACATTTGCAGGATCCTGATGTTTAGTGTTCTTTAGTCATTTCAAGGTTCATTGTGGTTTCATTAAAGACAAAAGGGAAACATAATCTAATTTTAAGCACAGTGAAGCAACGCGCTGATACAGAACATACAAAAATGCATCAATTCATGATTATACTGGGACACTTGCATTAGCACACAAGCAAATTTCCAAACAACACCATTTTCAGTGAAGCGTTTCCCATTGATTTTGCCACAACATTCGTCCTCAGCTTTATAAAAGAGCGATTTTCCTTCTGTTAGTGGTCTCCCTGCTGTTGAAGAAAACGTCTGTTTCTGAATGCTTATGCATTGTTAATAATGTTGCGAGGTTCTTATTATGGTTACCCCCCCTTCTTTATTCCCTTGGGACGTAGAACAAACCCAGAGTCAACAGATTAACAGATGCCTAAACATCACAGAAGGCCATTTTTCCTCAGCGCCCATCCCTTTTTCCTCCTGTCTCTCACCCACTCTTTTCCTCTACAAAGGGAATAAAAGATCTAGGCGGAAAGTGGGTTCTTTTTGACATGGGAAGCTTACTGCCGTGTGATCGGAACAGTGAAAATGGAGGAAGAATAAGTGTGAAGGGGAGATGGTGTAATAAAAGCATGATGAATGCTTTCCATTATGGCCATTAACAGAGTTTGGAGTCCATTGTCTCACCGTTCTGCTCCTGAGCCTGTAGGACTCTTGGCCTTCCGCTTCTATTTTTAAGCCAGATACTGGGCGCATGGCCGCTTTGGGTGTGGTCAGAGCTGAGGTCTGTTCTGGCCCATGGCGAGTGTCCTCCGCAGCCTGCCCTAATCTGTCTCAATCAAACCTCAAACCAGCCAGAGAACAGGTTGCCTCACTGAGGCCAGAGAGGACAGGAAATCATCATGAATCAGCTTTCAGCAGAGGAGAGGTATACCTCAGTACCTACAGTCTTAAAAATAACAGTGCCAAAAAAGGGTTCTTTGGAGTGACGCCATAGAACAATGGATTACTATTGCCCTGCGCATTTAAGAGTTCCCTCTGTTCCCACCTGATGAAACTAATTAACTAATTAAGAGGTGAACTGGGTTTGTTAGAGCAGGGAAAATGCTATAAAGTGGAGGGCAGTGGACCAAGAGAACCACTGCCATAGCACAATCACCTTCAACGAATGGTTCTTTTAAAAACTCTTTTTGTAGATGACGTGTAAAGTGAAGCTGAATGGTTTAGATTTATTGTGAGTTTAATTTTTTTTAAAAAGAACGTTTATTCAAAAAATGCAGTCCCATGTTATCATGTAACTACCAAAACATAAAAAACAAGTTTTTTTATTTTAGCCACACCCTTGCATTTTAGAGCAGGACGTGAGACTGCATCCCTGGGCCTCATGGCCACAGGGTGAGCAGATAGATCCCATTGTTCTGAAGCCCCAAAGTCTGAAAATCAGTGTGTAA